CTCTGTGTCTCTGTCTCTGTGTCTCTGTCTCTGTGTCTCTGTGTCTGTCTCTGTGTCTCTGTGTCTCTGTGTCTCTGTGTCTCTGTCTCTGTCTCTGTGTGTCTGTCTCTGTGTCTCTGTGTCTCTGTGTCTCTGTGTCTGTGTCTGTGTCTCTGTCTCTGTCTCTCTGTGTCTCTGTGTCTCTGTGTGTCTCTGTGTCTGTCTGTGTCTGTGTCTGTGTCTCTGTCTGTCTCTGTCTCTGTGTCTCTGTCTCTGTCTCTGTGTCTCTGTGTCTCTGTGTCTCTGTGTCTCTGTGTCTCTGTGTGTCTCTGTGTCTCTGTCTCTGTGTCTCTGTCTCTGTGTCTCTGTGTCTCTGTCTGTCTGTGTGTCTCTCTGTGTCTCTGTGTCTCTGTGTCTCTGTGTCTCTGTGTGTCTCTGTGTCTCTGTGTGTCTGTGTCTCTGTGTCTGTTCTGTGTCTCTGTGTCTCTGTGTCTCTGTGTGTCTCTGTCTCTGTGTCTCTGTCTCTGTGTCTCTGTGTCTCTGTCTCTGTGTCTCTGTCTCTGTGTCTGTCTCTGTGTCTCTGTGTCTCTGTGTCTCTGTGTCTCTGTCTCTGTGTCTCTGTGTCTCTGTCTGTGTCTCTGTGTCTCTGTGTCTCTGTGTCTTTGTGTCTCTGTGTCTCTGTGTCTCTGTCTCTGTGTCTCTGTGTCTCTGTGTCTCTGTGTCTCTGTCTGTCTCTGTGTCTGTGTCTCTGTGTCTGTGTCTCTGTCTCTCTGTCTCTCTGTGTCTCTCTGTGTCTCTGTGTCTCTGTCTCTGTGTCTCTGTGTCTCTGTCTCTGTGTCTCTGTCTCTGTGTCTGTCTCTGTGTCTCTGTCTCTGTGTCTGTCTCTGTCTCTGTCTGTGTCTCTGTCTCTGTGTCTCTGTGTCTCTGTCTCTGTCTCTGTGTCTCTGTGTCTCTGTGTCTCTGTGTCTCTGTGTCTCTGTCTCTGTGTCTCTGTGTGTCTCTGTGTCTCTGTGTCTCTGTCTCTGTGTCTCTGTGTCTCTGTGTCTCTGTGTCTGTGTCTCTGTGTCTCTGTGTCTGTCTCTGTGTCTCTGTGTGTCTCTGTCTCTGTCTCTGTGTCTCTGTGTCTCTGTCTCTGTGTCTCTGTCTCTGTGTGTCTCTGTGTCTGTGTCTCTGTGTCTCTGTCTCTGTGTCTCTGTGTCTCTGTCTCTGTGTCTCTGTGTCTCTGTGTCTGTGTCTCTGTGTCTCTGTGTCTCTGTCTCTGTGTCTCTGTGTCTGTGTCTCTGTCTCTGTGTCTCTGTGTCTCTGTGTCTCTGTGTCTCTGTGTCTCTGTCTCTGTCTCTGTGTCTCTGTGTGTCTCTGTGTCTGTGTCTCTGTCTGTCTCTGTGTCTCTGTGTCTGTGTCTCTGTGTCTCTGTGTCTCTGTGTCTCTGTGTCTCTGTCTCTGTGTCTCTGTGTCTCTATGTCTCTGCGTCTCTGTCTCTGTGTCTCTGTGTGTCTGTGTCTGTGTCTCTGTGTCTGTGTCTCTGTGTCTCTGTGTCTGTGTCTCTGTGTCTGTGTCTGTCTCTGTGTCTCTGTGTTCTGTGTCTCTGTGTGTCTCTGTGTCTCTGTGTCTGTGTGTCTCTGTCCTTCTGTCTCTGTGTCTCTGTGTCTGTGTGTCTCTGTCTCTGTGTCTCTGTCTGTGTCTCTGTCTCTGTCTCTGTCTCTGTCTCTGTGTCTCTGTGTCTCTGTGTCTCTGTGTCTCTGTGTCTCTGTCTCTGTCTCTGTGTCTCTGTCTCTGTGTCTCTGTGTCTCTATGTCTCTGTGTCTCTGTCTCTGTGTCTGTGTCTCTGTGTCTGTGTCTCTGTCTCTGTGTCTCTGTGTCTGTGTCTCTGTCTCTGTGTCTCTGTCTCTGTGTCTCTGTGTCTCTATGTCTCTTGTGTCTCTGTCTCTGTGTCTCTGTGTGTCTGTGTCTGTGTCTCTATGTCTGTGTCTCTGTGTCTCTGTCTCTGTGTCTCTGTGTCTCTCTGTGTCTCTGTCTCTGTGTCTGTGTCTCTGTGTCTCTGTGTCTGTGTCTCTGTGTCTCTGTCTCTCTGTCTGTGTCTCTGTGTCTCTGTGTCTCTCTGTGTCTCTGTCTCTGTCTCTGTGTCTCTGTGTCTCTGTGTCTCTGTCTCTGTGTCTCTGTCTCTGTCTGTGTCTCTGTGTCTCTGTCTCTGTCTCTGTGTGTCTCTGTGTCTCTGTGTCTGTGTCTCTGTGTCTCTGTGTCTCGCTCTAAAACCTTCAAATCAGGCAAGAAATCTAGGGGTAATAATGGACTCAGACTTGAACTTTAACAGCCACATCAAATCAATAACATCTGCAGCCTTTTACCATCTAAAAAACATAGCAAAAATCAAAGGTTTACTGTCTAAATCAGACTTGGAGAAACTTATCCATGCATTTGTCTCCAGTAGGTTAGATACTGTAATGTTCTGCTCACTGGTCTCTCCAAACGAGCTGTGAGACGCTGCAGAACATCCAGAACATCCACAACATCCAGAACATCCAGAACATCCAGAACATCCAGAACGCTGCAGCTCGGGTCCTGACTCGAACTAGGAAGTACGAGCACATAAGTCCTGTGCTCAGGTCTCTGCTCTGGCTCCTGTGCCTCAGAGAATAGACTTCAAAGCAGCTCTGCTTGTGTACAAGTCTCTCCATGGCCGAGCACCAAAGTCCATCTGTGACATGTTAGTGTCATATGAACATCTCACACTCTGAGGAGCTCAGGGACCAACTCCTGCTGGTGCCCAGAGTCACGACTAAACAAGGGGAGTCAGAGTTTCAGGTTCATGCAGCTAAAACCTGGAACAGTCTGAACATGTGAGACAGACTCTTCTGTGACGCTGTTTAAATCCAGACTCAAAACATTTCTGTTTAACTGTGCAAATAACTGAAAGGTTTTCATTCCGCACTCTTCTCTCCAATTTATGTCTCTCTTTTTTAATTTTAATCTTCATGATTATTTATGTTTTGATTTGTTTTTATTATGATTTTAATGTATTTCTTATTCTGTAAAGCACTTTGAATTACTTTGTGTACAAATTGTGCTATACAAATAAACTTGCCTTGCCTTGCCTTGTCTCTATGTCTCTGTGTCTCTGTCTCTGTGTCTCTGTCTCTGTGTCTCTGTCTCTGTGTCTCTGTCTCTGTGTCTCTGTGTCTCTGTCTCTGTCTCTGTCTCTGTGTGTCTCTGTGTCTCTGTGTCTCTGTGTCTCTGTGTCTCTGTGTCTCTGTGTCTCTGTGTCTCTGTGTCTCTGTGTCTCTGTGTCTGTCTCTGTGTCTCTGTGTGTCTGTGTCTGTCTGTGTCTCTGTGTCTCTCTGTGTCTCTGTGTCTGTGTCTCTGTGTCTTTGTGTCTCTGTGTGTCTCTGTGTCTCTGTCTCTGTGTGTCTGTCTCTGTTTCTCTGTCTCTGTGTCTGTGTCTCTGTCTCTGTGTCTTTGTGTCTTGTGTCTGTGTGTCTCTGTCTCTGTCTGTCTCTGTGTCTTTGTGTCTCTCTGTCTCTGTTTCTTCTCTAAAACGTCATTGCAGCACAAAGACGACACTTTTACTCAGACTTTCAATTTATTTGAGGCTGAACATGTTTCTACATTAGTTAAAGTTCAACATTATAACAGTTAGATTCAAATTAGATTAGAACTGCATGTGTGTGTTTATATACATATGTGTGTGTGTGTGTGTATATATATATATATATATATATGTGTGTGTGTGTGTGTGTGTGTATAATTTATATATATGTATAATTTATATATATAAGTATAATGTTTATATGTATATATGTATATCTCTGTATGTGTTAATGTCAAATGTGTATGTTTATGTTTATCACTTTTTACATTTTAGACACAAACAGAAGACATCAAATATATAATGTAAAATACATGGAACTGTGTGGTAAAATAATAATAACAATAATAATTTAATAACTTAAATAACTTAAATTGCTTTTTTTTTTTAATGTCTTAAATATTGGTCAAACATGCACAAATCACTCTAATTACAACTTGGTGACTAAATATTGAGTGGGAAACAAGTATTAAAACCCCTGAAAACCCATTTTAAAAAAAAAAAAAAACATCTTTCATTAACTGCCTTGTTTCTTTTGTTTACTTTTGTCTCAACTTTGAGTATCTTGAAAAGTGTTTTACAACTGTTATTATTATTATTATTATTATGTCTGATTTAGGGTGGACTCACATTATTAAATGCAGTAAAAGAAAGTTAAAAGAAGCTCTGAGCGAGGACATGCAGGAGCTGAACACCAGAGGGCAGCAGCACAAATTCAGAGCTTACAGGAAAAATCTGTTTGTAGGTCTGTAAATCTGTTTTAGGTTTGGCTCCATGTGAAAATTAAAGTTTCAGGCAATCTTTTACTATTTTTCTCAGAATCTTCACTCAAAATTTGAGATCATGAATTTCTAAATTGTAATACCAGTCTCTGGTGTGTCCAAGTTTGTTTTTTCAACTTTTTTACTTTTGTTTTTTGAGTCACCAGATGAGATTTTGATCGTGGGTTTAGTGGTTGATTGTGCCACAGAGTTGATGAGCCAGAAGTGAACCTTCAAAACTTTCATATTATTATTTTTCAGAAGATCAATAGGAAAAATTAATGGAGAATCTACATCCTGAACCAAGAGGTGAGCTCCAGATCCAACTCACTGAAAGAACCAACCAACCAACGCCAAAGAAACAACAAGAGAACAGCAGAAAATAAAAGTCTGTGTGCAGCTCTTTCACAATAAGAGTCCACAGCAGAGGGTTCTAAGGTTCTCCACAGCAGAGGGTTCTAAGGTTCTCCACAGCAGAGGGTTCTAAGGTTCTCCATAACAGAGCACATTGAGGGTCTGGCTGCAGTCGCTGGGTTCTATGAGCGGGTCTGATCCTGGGGTTTCATTGAGGACCAGAGCTCCACAGTGAAGTCCAGACTCAGGACACACAGGAAGAGAAGACAGAGAGACAGCGCCCCCATCTGACCAGAACCAAGAACCACCCAGGAACCGCAGACCCACCCACACCTGAGGACACAGGACATGTGTTAGACCTTCTGTCCCTCACTGAGGACACAGGACATGTGTTAGACCTTCTGTCCCTCACTGAGGACACACAGGTTTAGTGCCCCCTGTACCTTGCTGGTGGTGGAGAAGCGCAGGACGTTCTTGATGTTGTCCATCTCGCTCTGTTGGAGCCTGAGGAGGCTGAAGGAGCCTGTGGAGGGCGTGAGGATCCTGCAGGTCTCCAGAGCCTGCTCCCAGGTCAGAAGCTCCTGCACCAGGACCACATTGTGTCTGTAGCACAGAGAAGGGAAGGCCTCGGAGCAGCTGTGCACTGACATGGACTTAGACTGAGACGACACAGACACACAATCTGACCCCACACCTGGGCCCTGGACAGAGCTCGCAGCCACGCCAAGATCTGGAACAGAACACACACTGGATTCAACTGACTCCTCCCCCTTTCACCTGACTCCTCCCCCTCTCTTTTGACCCCTCCCCCTCTCTCCTGACTCCTCCCCCTCTCCTCTGACTCCTCCCCCTCTCTCCTGACTCCTCCCCCTCTCCCCTGACTCCTCCCCTCTCCTCTGACTCCTCCCCCTCTCCCCTGACTCCTCCCTCTCACCTGACTCCTCCCCCTCTCCCCTGACTCCTCCCTCTCACCTGACTCCTCCCCCTCTCCTCTGACTCCTCCCTCTCACCTGGAGCCCAGTTCCTGAAGTCAGACGGGTTTTGGTCGCTCCACTCCCATGATCCTCCTGAAACACACAGAGGAACCTGATTTTATCTGAGGTCAGTGCGTCGCTGCTTCTGCTCCACAGACTCTGTCCTTTGGAGAACATGAGCTTCCCAAATCCACACTGAGATGTTCCTCTGAGACCATCATCATCATCATCATCACACTGACCTGTTTTTAATGTTCCTCTGACCTGGTCAGACAATCCTGACTCTGCACCACAGACTGTGTCCTGTGGACTTTGTGGACAAACGTGAATCATCTCCAGATGTACCCAGATGACACAATACTGCGCATGATGTTACCCAGACTCAACCAGACCAGAACCAACCAGGACCAACTACCCCAACCAGACCAACCAGACCAACCAGATCAACCCCAGCATTGGCCTCTCTCACCGTTTCTGTGGAGGCCGATCCAAATGGGAAACTCTTGAGCAACGTAAAATGGAGAACCGGGCCACTGTGGGCTGCTGGTCCCTGGAAACGTGCTGAGGATCATCTGTCTGTCCGTACAAAAGGTCTGAGCGTCATCTCTTGTCTTAGCCTCAGGGATAAACACCCTGAAGGAGACGCCGGAGCAGAAGAAGAAATGTTTCTCTGAGCATGAAGCACCACGAGCTCTGAAGAGAGAAAGAGAGAGGGATCAGAGGAGAGAGAGATCAGGGGAGAGACTGAGAGACATACGTGTTATTTCTGTAGGAGACTAGGACACAGTGGTTGCCGTTGTCAGGGTTCCAGGCGTCTGCTGCGTGCTCATCTCCAGCGTCGTTCCAGTGAGTGTGGTCATTGTGGCCTCTCATTCCCACCCAGGCGTGATACGAGCTCAGGTCCATCTGATCGAATTCACCTTGGGACATGGCGGTCAGCAGGTCTCCTCCAAATTCACTGCACACATTTAGAAGGTTAAACCCCTCCTCCCTCTCCCCAGACTCCTCCTCTCTTCCCCTTCGTGACCCTTCCCTGATCAGACCCACCTTCTGCAGTGATCTCGAGCTTCATTCCAGGTCTTTGGGGCAGGGACTTGCCACATAGGCCTCCTGATCTTCAAAGCATGACCTAGATGGAGGAGGAGGAGGAGGAGGAGGATGTGGTTCATCACTGCCTCAGATGAAATCCCGAGAACAGCCACCTGTGGAGATGATGTGAGGTTGTGGCTGGACCTCTTTGTCCAAGCCTGACCTAGTCAGATCTCTTTTGCCAAACAGGACTGATCCTGGTCAGGACATTGATGGAAGACTTTTGGGTCATTGTGCTCTTAGGCAAGACACTGCCTAGTATGAATGTGGTGTGTAAAGTGTTGGTGGAGTTTCACCTCCACAGAGTGAGGAGTGAATGAAGAATGGACCAGACTATAAAGAGACAGACTCTGAGACATCTGGAGCAGAGCGTGAAATGGATCAGGACAAATCCTCATTTCTAAATATCTCCATGGGTGTACCTCAGGGCTCCACACTGGGGCTGCTGCTGTTTGGTCTTTATTTGAGGTGTTGCTGTATTATGTGGAGGAAGGTGTATGTGTTCATGACTTCTCAATCTTACTAAGAAAGTCACTATGTGCTTTTTCAGAAAAAAAAAAGTAGAAAAAATGTCCAGTAAATTTGCAAAAAAAAAAAACACAATTGGTAAATGAATTTAAATGTCTTGGATTGGTTCTTGGCCCAAAAACTAAAATTTGACAAGCACATTAAGAAAATATCCAAAACAACACAAAGAAACGTGAACTTCTTCAGACTTATGAGACATTACAGCCCCCGCTGGCCCTGCTGTCCATGCTGA